TAATAAATGACCACATCCTCCGTAGCAGTTTTACAAATAGAAACCAGATTTACGGATCTTAATGTGGAAGGACTTATGACACTGTAATAAGTCAGAATTGTAATTTTCTGATTTCGTGAAAAGTGACTGAAGAAAAATCTTATGATATTCGGTACAGTAATAAACTTAAATTGCTAGACGATATGTTTTCCTTATACTGGTGTGACAACTATAATGAAATTATTATTTTCAATGACTTTGTATACGAACCTCGACCATGCGGCTAAGCATTTCTATTTTAATCTCAGGATTACAGTATGACTGAGATAGCCTCGGCTGTTTTTACACTTTAATAAGAAGCCATTTGAGGTTAAAAAGCAGATGCTATTTGGCAATGAAGTTCGACTTACAACAATGTTCAGGTGAATAAATTTGAAAATGCACGATTATTTTCATAGTTTGCAATTATTTGTTAAAAATGAAAACAGCGAACGTTGTCTGTTAGGTGTAACAAAGGTGATCGTCGGCAAACGGCGGTGGTCCGCTTTATCGCGGGTTAAATGCTTATCTAGCTATTGTTTAAGATTGTTAAATTTGCTCACCTGAGCAACTCACGATGGATTCTGTTCTATTCCGTGATTCATCATCTGACACGATCGCCTGTTCTAAAATATTCATTGTAGCAAGGATTTATGAAAGCTAATTATCTGGGTGGCTTGATGGTAAATGTTGTTGTGTATGGGGCGAACTAGACAATAATATTGCAGCAGAAAAGCTGTTAGATGTGGACGGATTTCGATGTGTGGTAGAAAAGCGACATTTACTCATGGGATCAGTTTTACGACTATTAGTTCATAGGTAGCGTAAGAAATTGCTGGAGTACACACAGTAAATTTCATCTTCAGTAGCTTGATTCGAGTGTTGAAATTGTCGAATCTACTCAGCATTGAGACACGACCTCGTCGACCTGTCAAGCAAGATGGTCGGTCGTCGAGGTATTGTGTGGTTGGTAAACAGGTTTTTGCCGTCCGGCTATCGGCAACCACACTTCACCTCTAGACTGTTTACTTTTCAGGCCGACTGCTGAACGGAATTTTCGTTATCGCCGCTGTCTTCACATTTTATTGTGGATTCCGGAGAAGACTGAAACAATGCTGGCGCTGTTGAAGCACCTCCCAACGTTGATGGTGCTGCTCCGGTGTGTCCAAGGCGACGTTGGGCGTCCTCCCGC